AATATATACAAGCTCTTATGGCAGCTCACAATGAAAAAAAATGTGACAATGAATATATGTATGTTCATGAATAACTGAAAAACTGCTCTACACTGGAATTTGACACAACATTGTAAAATGGCTATAACTCAATAAAAATAATTTTTTAAAAAGTGAAAATAAAGAAAAAAAAGAAAGACATTGAAGGTTGAACGGAAGTTCGGATACATAAATGATGACTCAAGGTGCAGTGTGTATATTGTTTGTCTTTTGTGCACTCTACTTAAAAGGTACACAGTGGAATAATGGGGCAGTAATTTTAAGTCAGAGATAATTCAAACACAATATAATTAAATGATCTTTAAATTTTTATATCAACTTTTTAGCACTGGTAACGATCAGAAAGAGGGTCCGTTTTGTATTAATTATTCAGATTTTCCATATCAGCTGTTCATAAATAAATAGAAAAGGGATAAAATAGGTCAGTATGCAAATTTTCTCTAACAGGAAAGAAATGTGACCTTTAGGAGGAGATGTTATGTAAAAGAACAAAATGGGAAAAAGAAACAAAATAACTAGCATTTTAATGGTGAATTATTAAAGTTCCAACCTGATTAGTTTTAAAAATATTTATACAGTTTTAACTCAATTAAATACTGGATTAAGTGACCATGTTCTTAAACTGCCCCATCAACAGCTATAAATAAAGGAAAGGTATAAATGATTACATGCTATTTTGAAGTAACTTAATATCTAATTTTAAAAAATAATTTCAGAGTTCTTAGAATCAAATAATAAATATATTTAATTGTGTAGTAAAGATCTGCTAATTTCCATGTAGGATGTTTACAGAACTAAAATGATGCAAAGTCCCTGTATGCCAGGAATAGACATTTTTATTTTTGTAGATAATAGCCACTTAAAACCAAGGCACCTATTCTCTGGATTTATTTGTCACTCCCGGGGAAATAAACATGGATGAAATAAAAACCTTAGCTTCTCTTCCCCAAATTCTGTGTTCTGACCCAGAGTGAACTAGCTACAGGTGATACAAGCTGGTGAGAATGTCAGTTGCTCAGGCTAACCAGGAGAACAGAGGAACGAGGTAAAGTGCAGACCTAGGGCAGTTGCTGCAGAAATGCAATCTCTGTAGAAGCAACTTAACAGTAACAGAAATTTATTGAACTCGAGATAATTTTGTAATTGTCACTGTTCAGAATACAAAAAAAAAAATAGGAGTCAGGCACTACAGTTGATTTTCTCTTGAACCTTCTGGCTTGATTGAGCAAGTGATGGTTTGGATAAATTACTTGACTCTGAATAGGTACAGTCATTATTATAAAATAAGTATCAAACTATGCCAAGGGAATTTTAAGGAGTGACTTGCTTTTATGAGAAGGATAGTCAGAGGAAAATGTTTTATATAGGAAGTCTAATTTGAAATGGGCTGTGTAATTTTGAGGGAATTTTGACTAAAAGCGATGGCAAGTTTAAAGAGAAGACAGCCATATGAATAAAGACTAGATCCAGCAAAGGACAGAGGCTATGAGAGGAGCACAGAGAATGCTGAGGAGGGCAGGAGAACCACACCTGGAAAGGTTGGATTAGATTATCATGGGGAAGATCTTCGTAGGTCAGGCAGAGTTGTCTCTACTTAATGTCCCGGCAAGTGAAGGTTGTTCAAGAGAGAAATAGTAGTTTAGATGTGCTTAGTAAGAATAATAAGACTAGAACATGAGAGAATGGATTCAAAGAAATTAGGAATGCATTTTAATAGTCAACATAGAAACCATGATTTCTTCAATTAGGAGTCACTGAAGGAGTTGAACATAAAGGCAGCTTTGCAAGTAGAATTGAATAGAACTGAGTACATGTGAATGCAAGAGATTAAGACAACGAGGGATAACATCACGCATTATTTGAGTTTGGAGAAGATAGTGGTACCATTTCCAGCAATGAGGAAAACCTGAGAGGCACTCAGTAGCCAGGGATCATGAAGTTTACTTTTTTATGAGTTCAGTTGCGGTGTTGACTCATCCTGAAATTGCAAATGTTTAACAGGAAGCAAGACAGAAGGCAAGATGTCTGGAAAACTTTAGAAGTGATATGCATTGAGTTAAAGGACAAAACCGGGAGAGCTGAGACATCACTTTTAATGATGGCACTAAGTTAGTACTTCTTAGCACTTACCACCTGATGGGTCTTATGAAGTCATTTCACATATGTTAGCATATTCAGTCCTGATGACACCACTATAAGGTGGGTGTTCTTATTTTAAATCTCCTTTATCAATGGAGCAGAGAGGGCTTAAGTGCTGCCCAAGGTCATAAAAACGAGTGAGTGGCAGGGCTAGAGCATGAATCCCAATCTGGGATCAGAGCCACTTGAATGAGGACTTATATTTATTTCAAAAAGAGCACACCTGCAATGTGCCAGCCACTGTTCTGAGCACAAGGAGTAACACATTCCCCTTCTTCAGCAAACCTGTGAGGAGGGTACTATTACTATTCCCATTTTACAGAAGGGATCATTGAAGCCTGGGAAGTTAAGGTCCCAGAGCCAGGAAGTGGGGAAATCAGGATTCTGACACAGGCATTCAGCTCGAGGCTGTGTTAACCACGATGCCGTTTTACTGCTAAAGAATGGCCTCCTAAACTCAGTAACCTCTGCTCTAACCTACGTGCTCTATTGCCTACCAAGTGTTTGCCAGCAGGCAGGCCTGGACAGACTTGAGTTCTGCACGAGCCACGCACTTGTGCAGAGCAGAGATGAAACAGAGTTCCTCTAAGTGTGCTCCTCTGCTCTTCCAACAGTCTGTTCTCCTTCAGGGGGATGAATAGAAGAGTTACCTAATTGTCTTTGGAAATGGTAATGACAATGCAAGAGGAAATTGTAAAATCTGTTCTATTAATCAAATCACTATAAGAAATTCAGCAATCATGTTCCAAACAATGAAAACTAGAAATATACTGTCTTGACCTTCAAACTGTAGACCCCATCCTGTACTTACATAGAAACTTGGATTCCAAAGGAATGTAAGTACCAGTGTATCCTCCCATCCAAAGCAGACACGTCCACCATAATAGAGTCACTGAGCAGATAGGAGTTCTTGTCTGCGCGGCTCCCATTTTGATATTTTAAACACGTTGATGTTAAAGTCTGGCTTTTGTACAACTCTTTGTACTCACTGAATTGGAGCTACTGACACATGGGTTCTTTAAGAGCTATTAGTTTATGAAAACAATAAACGATCATGATAGAGAGGCCGAGGTATTGTATTTTTAAGTGGTGTTTGTATCTTTTCATTAACCGAGAATTTATCCTTTTTCCAATTTCACAATCTGCCTCATTTCACGTAAGTGCCAATTCCAACACCTAAATGTGTGTGTGTGTGTGTGTGTGTGTGTTATTTTGTGATCAAGTAGAATGTACTAAAAAAAATACAACCCAGTTCTTTCTGTCCTTTGCCTGAAAGTTGTTGCTGAGCTTCAAGCCTGATTTCCAGCCGTGGATCAAAAAGAGAAAGCAAGATGGGATTTCAGAAAGGTTCAGGTGGTATGTCTTTGTCTGCATGGAGACCAACAATGCTGAATGCATCACAGAGGTTGAGAATGGGGGAGAAGTGAGAGAAGGCAGCTAAGCTTTGCAATTTGGAAGTCTGGGTTGAGCCATTAGAGCACTATTTCAGGAAAGTGTCAGGGTTAATATTCAGACTGCATGGGGTTAAATCCTGAAGAGGTGACAAAGAATTGGTGGGAAACTTAGTTCAGAAGTGTGGTTGTACAGACTCGTAGGCAGAAAAAACAAACTTATGGTTACTGGGGAGGAAAGGTAGTGGGAAGGAATAAATTGGGAGATGTGCAGATACACACTGCTATATATAAAACAGATAAACAACAGGTTTCTTCGGTATAGCACAGGGAATGATATTCAATATTTTGTAGTAAGCTATAATGAAAAAGAATATGAAAACAAATATATGTATGTTCATGTATGACTGAAACATCATGCTGTACACCAGAAATTGACATAACATTGTAAACTGACTATACTTCAATAAAAAAATAGT